CACACTGGCAATAAAGGCAGCACATGCATTCTCTTAGTACAAGCAGCTGGCTGTCTTGTCTCTCTTTTCCTGATACCTTGGAGTTGCTTGTGGCACCGCAAAACACAGTACCTCCTCCTGCCTGCTAGGCAAGCACTCCACTAAGCTGTCCCAGCCTCCTACAGGTCACCATATGTCATTTTACGTCACAGGACCAGTGTCAACTCCATGAGGAGACGGCGCTGGAGTAGAGAGAGCGCCCACGCACCTGGGACGTTTCCTACGTATTTGCTTACCCTGGTTTTATTGGTTCATCACACCTGAGTACCTGACTTTGTAGGAGGTTTTATCAATAGGGTCTTTTTGTTCCCTAACCTCCTCTGCTGTAACGGGGTGTGAGGTATTGCCTGTCCCTCAGCCGGTGGCCTAGCACAGGGCTTAGCAAGCAGGTGGCTGGCAACAATGATTTGTCCAGGGCGTTGCGCCACGGATGGAGAAAGGGGCCCGTGGGGGGGTGCCCACCCCTCCCGGAGAGACCGTTAGCTGTTTGTTGGGGAGAAGGGTTTCATCTCTTCAGTGGGGTGGTCAAGGTAAATCACCCACACTTAGGCAAGAAACCCATGCTAAACCAAATGGGTCACACGCAGAAAAGAAAGGTCTTGCTGGGAAGGGTTCCGTCAGGAAGGAGGGGCCGAGTGAGAGGAACCGCAAAAATGACGGAAGGTCGCAAAATGATGGAAGGTCGTATCATACGGATGTGTGAGACTGTCAGACAACAACAAAAGTCAGCTAGGCATGGTGGGGCACGCCTGTAATCCCAGCACTCGGGAGGCAGAGGCAGGTGGATCTCTGTGAGTTTAAGACCAGCCTGGTCTACAGAGCAAGTTCCAGGACAGCCAGGGCTACAAAGAGAGACTCTGCCCCCCCCCAATAATTTTTTCGAGACACGGTTTCTCTGTATTGTTTTAAAGGCATGTGCCACCACCGCCTGGCTCCAAATAATTTTTTTAATTTATTTTATGTGTATGAATGTTTTGCCTGCATGCGTGTATGTGTACCATATGTGTGTCTAGTGCTCACAGAGGTCAGAAGAGGGAATCGGAAGCCCTTTGACTGGACTTACAGAGGTTTGTGAGCCACCATGTGGAGGGTGGGCACTGAACCCCGTCCTCTGCAAAAGCAACCAGTGCTCCTAATCCAGCCCCAGCCAAATGAAACAAATAAATTATTGAACAGGGGCTGGGGATACGGCTTTGGGACGAGGAGCAAGCCAAGGGCGTATAGAGTCTTGGAAATTGGTCCCCGCCATGATAGAAGGGGGAAAGACGGCCGAATGAGTGACTATCTCCTTGAGTCACGTTAGGAAAATGAGCTAAGACTATTGTCCTTTAGCACAATGACCAGTGTTGCTGGCGCTGACTCATGGCCAGGCTTACTGCTGGGCATTTTCGACAGAATGTTTCACTGCAGAAAGTCTTTTTTTGTCACCCCATCCTGCCAGAATGCCTCACCTGCAAGGCAAGCACAGTCAAAAGAAAAAAGAAAAAAGAAAGGAACCTTTGCAAAGAAAGAGGAACGACTTTGTCACAAATTCCAGGAGAGCCAAACACCACAGAAACCACCAAAAACTAAACAGAAGGGGACGTTTGTCTAACCCCTGGGAAGCTAGGACTTTTAGTCTCTCAAGATGGATGCTGAGCGGTGAACGGCCGAGGGCAGTGGGGCAGAAGGGCAGCGTTTGGCTTGCCCCCGCCCCCCCCCCCCACCCAGCATGGAATGCGCACTGCTCTGCTCGACGTGTGAAACCCTGCAGCCGGCCCCGGGCCTTGTGGCGCGGGGGCGGGGAGGGGGGCAAGCTCATATGCAAGCAAGTTTGTAACGCTGGGTGGACAAGGCTTGCGCTGCCTCCTGCAAATCTCTGCTCGTCAAAGCAAGGTGACCTTTCCAGGCTCCGCAGTCTGACCCCGCCTCCGAGTAGGGAGCCTTCCCAGATAGTAGCAGCGCTGAGCTGGACATCCCAGAGGCCCTGCCATCCTCCCAGCCCGCTATACATTATAAGATTTACTTATAATGTATAGTGTTCTTTCTGCGTGTATGCCTGCAAGCCAGAAGAGGGCGCCAGATCTCCTTACAGATGGTTGTGAGCCACCATGTGGTTGCTGGGAATTGAACTCAGGACCTCTGGAAGAGCAGCCTGTGTTCCTAACCATTGAGTTATCAATCCAGACCCCTCCCAGAACATTTTTTTTTTTTTGGTTTTTCGAGACAGGGTTTCTCTGTGGCTTTGGAGGCTGTCCTGGAACTTGCTTGGTAGTCCAGGCTGGTCTCGAACTCACAGAGATCCGCCTGCCTCTGCCTCCCGAGTGCTGGGATTACCTCACAGAACATTTTTATACCTCTATTATTTCTTTTTGTAGTGAGGCTATACATTTTTTTAATTTTATTTATTTATGATGTATACAGTATTCTGTCTGCACACATGCCTGCTGGCCAGACGAGGGCATCAGATCTCATTATAGACAGTTGTGAGCCGCCATGTGGGTGCTGGGAATTGAACTCAGGTCCTCTGGAAGAGCAGCCAGTGCTCTTAACCGCTGAGCCATCTCTCCAGCCCGAGGCTATACATTTCATTAGTGCTAATGCCAAGGCTGTGTCTGTCTGATTCACCTCTGTATCCCCAGTCTTAGCAGGGTGCCTCGATGCAGCAGCTACTCAATAAATACCTGCTGAGTAAATGGGGGGTTCAACTACACACACACATACACATGGTCGAACACACATACACATACACACTCATACACACTACACACATACAGTCACATAAACACAGCACGCGCGCACACACCACACACACCCTCACACATGCACGCGTGTGTGCCCGCATGTGCATGCACACAGTCACTGAGCTGAAATGTACACATACAAAGTAGCAAGAGAATATTACAAAGGGATACACTCCCAGGAGGTGGTGTTTCTTTGTCCAAGGATTAGGGTGTGAATCATTGTACACTTCCTACCTCTCTTGAAATCCCTCAGAGGAAAGGCAAAAAAGAGAGAAGATGGGTTAATTTTCAATAAGATTCCAGGGATTCCAAGAACCACCATAGTTAGTCATGGCGCTGGGGACAGGGCAGAGCCAGGGACTGTGGTTATCCTGGCTCAGAAAGTCAAAACATTGTTTTTTGTTTGCTTGTTTTGTTTTTTCTGAAACAGGGTTTCTCTGTGTAACAGTTTTGGCTGTCCTGGAACTCACTCTATAGACCGGGCTGAACTTGAACTCACAGAGATCCACCTGCCTCTGCCTCCAGAGTGCTGGGATTACAGGCGTGTGCCAACATACCCAGTTTACAGGTGTCTTTTAGATTGCCACCCCAAGTTATGTGTTTTAATAATGAAACTAGCGTTACAAAAGCCTAAACTGGGCTTGGGTTCCCTTTCGGGTGACAACCCCCCGGGGGAGTTAGGAAGAATCACAGAGTCAGGCGACAGTCTCAGTTACCTCCGGGTTATATTTGTTCTGCGTGGTTATGTAAGTCCACAGTCCTAGTTATTCTTAAACCAGTTTCCCCCTCAGAGCAGCTTGAGGCCCAGGGTCACTGTCTCAAGCAGGTTAGCAGACAACGTTTGTGACTTCAGATAAGAGGCTTCCTAATGAGCAAATGGCTCGAGGGGGCAGAAGAAACTGAGTGAGATTCCAGCTCACTCGGAAGTGTAACTCTGTGTCCTTATCTTCCTAAATTATCTAAGCAGAACACGTGTGTAAACTATGCTTGGATAAGAATTGGGTCGTTGCCTCTACAAATGTAATCCCCTATTTAATGTCCCTGGGGAAGGCTCATTAGTACACCCATTCCTTTACATTCTAATCAGCCTTAAAGCTTGTCCGAATTTCCTTTTACCACATCCGTCAGGCACAGTGGCAGCCGCCTGTAGCACCCCCCCCCCCATCCTCCCCTGCACAGTGAGCTCCAGGCCAGCGAGGGGCAGGCACGGAAGACCCTTGCCAACTGTACCGAGAACAACACAGAGCCAAGGGCGGTCCTTGGGGTTCTCCTTCCCGGAAGATCGGCGCCGGCCCAGCCTGTGCAGGGCTCTAACTACACCCTCCTTAGGGAGGGCACCCGCTCTCCTCCCTGGACCAGTCACACAGGCCGAACATAGGACAGACTGGGTGGGCTCAGAATGAGGTCACCGAGGGATCGCGGGCTGCAAGCAGGAGCCCTAGCTCGGGATCACAGGCGCCTTCTCGGGCTTTCGAGTCCCCGGGTCTGCGATGTCTTTGCCAAGCGATGGGCATGCGCGGTCCAGTCTGAACAGGGCTTGATTTCAGCTGAGATCTCTGACTGCATAGGCATGATAACCCGGGAGGCTACACTCTCGGCCTTAAAAATAAACAAACAAACGAATGAATGTATAGGGACTGGAGAGATGGCTCAGCGGTTAAGAGCACTGACTGCTCTTCCAGAGGACCAGGGTTCAAATCCCCGGCAACCACACGGTGGCTCACAACCACCTTGAATGAGATCTGGTGCCCTCCACTGGCCTGCAGGCAGAAGACGATAAATAAATAAAACATTAAGGGGCTGGAGAGAAGGCTCAGAGGTTGAGAGCACTGACTGTTCTTCCAGAGGCCCTGTGTTCAATTTCCGGCAACCATATGGTGGCTCACGACCATCTACAATTCAATCTGGTGCCCTCTGCGGGTATGTGGGTAGAGCACTGTATATGTAATAAATACATCTTTAAAAATATTTTTTAAAAAAAAGTGAGGTTCAAACTCAGGCCCTTTGCCCATGCTTGAAAAAAAAACCTCCCTAGCACCGCTGCGTCCTCGTCAGCCCAAGTCGTCCTTCCTTGGTCTTTTTTTTAAAAACGTTTGTTTGCTTTCCGGTTGAATCAACCGGTCCCGCAAAGACCTTTGTCGGGCTGGGTTCGAGCTGGCCCGGTTCTACTGCTTAGGTCTAGCCCGGTTGCTAAGGCACGGAGCGTCACGGTTGCCGGGGGGGAAGGGGTGGGGTGGGAAGCGACGTCGCGCCGTGAGCGGGCCGAGCCGCCTCTCCGTCGTCGCGATTGGTCGTCGCGTTGGGGGACGGGCTTTCTGTCTCCTGGGCTCCGCGGCTGTTGGTGAGGCTCGCCGGCTCGCAGGCTCGCCCCCACCCCGGGGGTGGAGTGGGGCGGGGTGGGGGAAAGCCCTGGGAGGACGAGGACGGTGGTGGCTCACGGAAGGCGACGCGGCTGAGGCCGCCCCCGGCCGGGCTTCTTTCGTCCTCCCGGCTGAAGCCACGCGCCCCTGGGAGCCGTGCAAGAGGCCCGCGTCTTCGGTGTGCGGAGTCGGAGGAGACCGTGCAGAGCCGACCTGGATCTGGGCGGACTCTGGCTCTGGAGAGGGAGAGAAAAGGAAAAGGAAAAGAAACTTCCAGGACTTGAGGGCGCCCGGGTCCTCCGGAGGAAGACGGAGCCCTAACTAGGACTCTGGGAGCTGGCGTTGTCTCCGCTTCGGCTCGCCCGACCCCGTCGCTTCCCCCATGGACGAGGAGGACGCAGCCGCCGCCGCCGCCGCCCGGACCCCTGAGAAGGCGGGACGCCCGGAGTCCGGGCTCGCAGGGGACCCTGATGGTGGGGGAGCCTCTGCCGAGGACGCGGCCGAGCGCCCCCAGGCCTCCGATCTCTGGTACTGCCCGGACGGGAGCTTCGTGAAGAGGATCGTGGTCCGCGGCTGGGGCATGGACAAACCCAAACTGGGGTCCCAGTGCCGAGTGGTGGCCTCGGGGTTCCCTTTCGGGTCGGGGATGCCGGAGGGCCTCACGGAGCTGACGGTGGGCCTGGGGCAGTGGAGGGAGAAGCCTTGGGGGGAGCTGGCGGAGAAGTGCCTGGAGTCCATGCGTCAGGGCGAGGAGGCGGAGATCCAGCTCCCGGGGGCGTCGGCGCCGCTCGCCAGGCTCCGGCTGGAGGCCTTCACCCAGGGTCGGGACTCGTGGGAGCTGGGGGCTACGGAGAAGGAGGCCCTGGCCCAGGGGGAGCGTGCGAGGGGCACGGAGCTGTTCCGAGCCGGGGACCCCCGCGGCGCCGCCCGCTGCTACGGGCGGGCTCTGCGGCTGCTGCTGACCCTGCCCCCGCCGGGGTCCCCCGAGCGCACCGTGCTCTACGCCAACCTGGCCGCCTGCCAGCTGCTGCTGGGGCAGCCGAGGCTGGCGGCCCAGAGCTGCGACCGCGCGCTGGAGCGCGAGCCGGGCCACCTGAAGGCCCTGTACCGGCGAGGGGTGGCGCAGGCCGCCCTCGGGAACCTGGAGGGGGCCGCCGCCGACCTCAGGAGGGTGCTGGCGGCGGATCCCCAAAACCGCGCCGCCCAGGAGGAGCTGGGGAAGGTGGTCGCCCAGGGCCGGAGGCAGGACGCGGGGCTGGCGCGGGGTCTGCGCAAGATGTTCAGTTGATTTTTGTTATTATTATTAAAGGAGCCAAGCTTTCAAAAGAGCCGGGGACCTGTGGACTGTGTCCCGCGCTGTGGGTTTTTCCCCCCCAGGGGCTTCTCCCCCCCCACACCAGAGCGATTGGTTTTCAGTTCCCATCCTAAGTCTCTCGGAGCCCCTGAGCCTCCGCAGATGTGTGCGTGTGTGCATTGGTGTGCATTTGTGTACCTGTGTGTGCATTTGTGTGCGTGTGTGTGCATGCGGACGTCTCCCCCCCCCCCCGTGCTTGCGGGCGTCAGAGGGAGCTGCATCCCCGGCGGGCGGGGGGCAGGGGGGGTCGGGGAGTGGGACTCGGGTCTGTGCGAGAGCCGTAAGCTCTCCCTCTCCCCGCCTTTTTTATTTGCTGTCTGTCTATTGTGGGACAGGGCTTCCCTGTGTAGACCTGGGACTCCTCCCGTAGACCAGGTTGGTTTCAAACCCAGAAATCTGAGAAAAATCTGCCCCCCCACCCAAATCTGGTATTAAGGCCTAACGCCAGCTACCTCCCATGCAGTAATAAGTCGTCTTGACTGTTGAGTCATCTGGTGGACCTTGATTGATCGATTGATTCATTCACTCACTCATTCATTACGTGTGCATTTGTGCCTCCCTGAGCAACACGTGGGGTGCAGACCTCTGAAGAAACCCCGCCGAGCCACCGTCCCAGTCCAGATGCCAGAACTTTTTTTAGGTGGTAGGAACTACATTTCCCACAAGGCTCGTCTCTCGGGAGGGGGGGCCTCCGGCGCGTGCGCAGCCCCGCCCGGACGTGTGGAGCGGCTGACGGCTGCCATGTTCCTATTGGCCCGGCGTGCACAGTCAACGCTCCTCTGTGTCACGTGCTCGGCACCCGAGCCTCTGATTGGCCGGTGTGACTTCCGGGATGCCCGGTGTTTGTTCAGCGAGCGCGTTGATTGGCCGAGGCCCGGGAGAGGCGGGTCCGGGAGCCGGCTCATGGTGGGGGGTGGGGGGAAGATGGCGGAGCTGATGCTCCTGAGCGAGATCGCCGACCCGACGCGCTTCTTCACCGACAACCTGCTGAGCCCGGAGGACTGGGGTGTGCGGAGTGAGGCCCGGGGGGAGGGAGCGGGCTTGTGGCCGGCCCCAGGGCCCGAGGCTGGCGGGGAGGAAGCCGGGCCCATCGCCCGAGGGAGCGCGCCGCCGGCGCTCGTGCTTTCCCGGGATGCGGTTTGCGGGGCGACCTTGGCCTCCCGCGGGGGCGCGGGGCTGCCCCCGGGGTCAGGGGCTCGGAGCCGTACCGGACACCTTAGGGGGTGTCTGGCTCTGCGAGTGGGCGGGCGGTGGGTCTGGCCCGGCCGAGCCAATGAGGAGTGGAGCCGGGGCCGCCGTGCGAGCCTCCTGACACCGGGGGAGCCGCCGTGCGAGCCTCCTGACACCGGGGGAGCCGCCGTGCGAGCCTCCCTACACGGGTGGGGGGCCGCCGTGCGAGACTCCTGACGCGGGTGGGGGGCCGTGCGAGCCTCCTGACACCGGGGGAGCCGCCGTGCGAGCCTCCTGACACCGGGGCCTCCTTGCAGACCGCACCTTGTACAATGGCCTGGATGAAGTGGCCGAGGAGCAGGCACAGCTATTCCGTTGCGTGGAGCAGGATGTCCCGGTATTGCTACCGCAGCGTTTCTCTTATAGTCCTCGGGGGTGGGGAGGGAGGAGGACCCCAAACCTGGAGTCATCCCCAAGCCAGAGTTCATCCGGGAGTCACCCCTGCTTTTTGTTCAACCCGAAAACTGCGAGGAGAAAGACCAGTTTCACCGCTGTGTGCTTGGAGTCAGCTTTATCTTAGAGGTGCCGCCACAGTCCCACGCACCCCAAGTTGGGATTTTTGAGAGCAGCCCCCTTCTGACCTTTGAAGTCCCTTTTAAGGGGGGACAGATGACAGATTGACAGCTGTAAGTGTCTTTGCGAGGGCGAGGGAATTGCTTCTTAGATACCGTTAAGGAAAACACAATGCAAGAGGAATACAGGTGTTTTTCCGAGGTTGGCACAGTGGGCTCCTCGGTTTGCAAGGCGTGTGGCTCTTTTGGTCTCACGCCGTCTCAGCGTCCTGCCCTCTAATGTGCCCCGTCGCTTAGTTTGACAGCTGCTCCCTGGATGTGGGGATGGATGTCAGCCCCCCTGAGCCCCCCTGGGACCCTCTGCCGATCTTCCCAGGTAAGAGACCCTTAGGGTTTCCCTGACTTCCCCGCTGCATCCCAGAAGCTGAATCCCGCATGTCCGAGTACAGAGTGTCTGCACTCCCCTCTGGGCTTCCTTTGCGAGAGCATCCCCCACCGTCCGTCCTCACTCTCCACTCTGCTGGCCTTTTTTTGTTTTTTGTTTGTTTGTTTTTTTTTTTGCTTCCTGGTCACTTATTTCTGCAGTGTTAGCTCCGTGCATGCAAGGCAGGCGTTGGACACTGAACTGTATTCCCGGTCCTTCCCGGGTATCTCCTAACTCCCGTTCTTGCAGATCTTCAGGTGAAGTCTGAGCCGTCCTCGCCCTGCTCCTCCTCCTCCCTCAGCTCAGAGTCCTCCCATCTTTCGGCGGAGCCCTCCAGCCAGGTGAGAGCCAAGCCTCCCTTCCCTTCTCCACTGGGTGCCCAGGTTCTGTCTGTCTGCTGAGTGGGAGCGCCTTCTCAGACGCAGCGCCGCGTGGAGCGCCTTCTCAGACGCAGCGCCACGTTTCCTGTGCGTCCACTCTGGCTGTGCCGAGGGAAGATGGGGCCTCTTGGGGTGTGAGCCTTTAGGGCTGAGCCATCTCTCCAGCCCGGTGGGGCCTTTCTAACGTACGGAGAGACGACAGTACTAGGGCTTGGGAAAGCAGCGTTGGTAAGGGCTGAGGATTCTCCAGCTGTTCTTACCCAGGTTGTCCCCTGTAATGTGATATTTGCAATCTTGAGATTTGTGTTGACTCTCCTGGGAAAAGAACAGACAGAATAAAGAGTCGGAGAGCCTGGCTAGTCTGGGGCTGTTGAGACCAGACACGGACGACGGGTGGTGTGTAGGCTCTCGGGATTTTGCGTTCACCCTGACTGTCAGCACGTCTCCAGCTTTCTCTCCTTCTGTCTTCCTGCCTCGCTGCTCACAGGCCCCTGGAGTAGGGGAGGTGTTGGATGTGAAGACGGAGTCCTTGGCACCCCCACTCTGCCTGCTGGGAGACGATCCAGCAACCCCGTTTGAAACAGTCCAGATCACCGTGGGTTCAGTGTCTGATGATCCCTCAGGTAATCACAGCTTATCACTGTCCTTAGGAACTGCCACTGGCGGCCAGGCTGTGGTGGCGCACGCCTCTAATCCCAGCACTCAGGAGGCAGAGGCAGGCGGATCTCTGTGAGTTCGAGGCCAGCCTGGTCTTCACAGCGAGTGCCAGGACAGCCTCCAAGACAATACAGGGAAACCCTGTCTCAAACAAACAAACAAACAGAATAGACCTGGCGCTCCTGTCAGGATGACAGGGACAGGATGAGGCGGGGAGTGGAAACCAGGAAGGGACCTTCAGGGACAAAGCAAAGCCGTGCTGAGGAGACAGTGGCTGTTGCTTCGCCCCTGGGGCCCAGTCCGTCACTCAGTGACCATTAATTTGCATTTTAAAACTGGAAAATTCCGTGCATCTGTATGTGCTCCTCACACCACCCTAGCACACGCCCTGTCTCAGTTACTGTTTTATTGTGTGCAGAGACCACAGCCAAGCAGCATTTAAAAGAAAGCATTTCCTTTGGGGCTCGCTTAGTTCAGAGTTCAGTCCGCGATCATCGTGGTGGGAGGCGGGTAGGCACGGCGCTCATCCAGACCACCACGCGCCCCTCTCCCTTTGTTTTGTTTCTCGAGCTGGGCTTCACCGTGCTGCCCGTGCTGGCCTCAGATCAGGGCCCAACATCTCCCTCCCAGTCTCAAGTACACGGCACTGCGTGCAGCCCCCTCCAGAACTTTATTACAGGAATTCAAACACTGAGAGAGAGGTTGGAATGGCGTAGGCCTAATTCCCCGACTCTTACAGTGGACGTCATTTGCCTGATTTTTATGATCTCGGGTTTGTTTACTTTTGTGGCTTATTCGGTAGACATTTGTTTAGCACCTGCCAGCTACTGGACGGGGCTCTGGTAATGGCAGAAACGGGTGGGAGAGCGCTCTTGGCTCACTCTCTCTTTTTATTCAGTTGGGGAGCCTCAGATCTCCTGGAAACACCCTCACAGGCGCCCACACGAGTGTCTCCGTAGTTACTCTAAACCCCCATCGGTCCACAGCGAAGGTAGCTCTCGCAGTTTGTCAATAGATTTCTGGTACACTGTCAGATGTTACCAGGAGGCCACACCATACACATCCAGCATCTTACATTGTTGGTTGTGAGTCTAGCCTTTAACCGATGAGCCGTCTCTCCAGCCCCATACCCAACATCTCTACAGCAAAGATTATCTGTAACTTTGCAGGGGCAATGTTCCAAAGTCTGATTCCCCGCACTTACAGACTTTATGAGGTCTGCATTCACGCGACACTCTGAGAGATGAGAAGCAGAGAGTTGGCTTTTGGAGAACTTTGTGAGGGTTATAGTACATGCTTTAACAGCGTTAACAACGGTCACTTCCGACGGTGGTGGGGTAGCCCCCCTTTTATTTTCCACTGAATTTACCTTCATTCCTTTCTAATTTGTGTGGCGTGACTATTTGCATCATGTCTGCTGCCATTCAAATAGGTTTAAGAGAGCGTTCACTAGCGACTGTATAATTAAGTTCCACAGTAGTGTTAGTGTCAGCTGACTTTTATTTCACCCACCTTGGGCCTCGCATTTGTTTCTGTGGGGACTAACAAGTTACAGAGCCAGCTGAAGGTTTGTGCTATGCTCCTAGAAGGTAACGTGTGGTCCGAAGGGAGCTTGTGTGACGTCAGAGCTCTCGGGGCTACCGGTTAAGTTTGCTTGCATGGGCGGCATGAGGATGGCGGTGGCAGGAAGCATTGGCATGGGGGTCGGGCTGGTCGTGTGGAGATGAAGACACGGCCACTGTCAGCATGAGAGTAGTCGGATAGGAGCAGGCTGGAGAGGTGGCTCTCCCAGAGGACCCGGGTTCAATTCCCAGCTCCCACATGGCGGCTCGCACCTGTCTAACTCCAGTTCCAGGGATTACAAGACCCTCTTCTGACCTTAGGCACTTACAAATGCGCATGCACATAAAATAAAAACCAAACCTTAAGGAGAAGAAGAACTGGATAGGAACGGGAGCCTTGTGGCTGCTCAGGACTCTCCAGCGTGGATGGACAGGGTCTGTGTGGAATAAGAACTGGCAGATGGGTGATTTGGCCTGGAGGAAAACCAGCAGCTGTGGGTGTGGAACGCTAGGGAAACCCCTGAATAGGAAAATCCCACGGGTGGGGGCCAGACTGTCATCTCTCTGCGGGGCACCTGCAGCAGCCGGAGTCCAGGTGAAGGGGAGAGGACCTTTTCTCCTTTCCCTCAGTAGCTACCTGCTGGCCCCCTCCTCCTCCTCCCCCTCCTCTGTTTCTTTGATGGGTCCCTGGCTCCAAGCAGAATGTGGCACGTGCCTTTTTTTTTTTTTTTTTTGGTTTTTCGAGACAGGGTTTCCCTGTGGCTTTGGAGGCTGTCCTGGAACTCGCTCGGTAGACCAGGCTGGTCTCGAACTCACAGAGATCCGCCTGCCTCTGCCTCCCAAGTGCTGGGATTAAAGGCGTGTGCCACCAACACCCGGCGGCACGTGTCTTTTTAAATTTTACTTGTTTACATTTTATTCACAAGTGCTCTGCATGTAAGGCTGCAGGCAGGAAAGGGGCATCTTGTCCTGTTAGAGATGGCTGTGAGCCACCGTGTGGGTGCTGGGAACTGAACTCAGGACCTCTGGAAGAGCAGGCAGTGCTCCTAAGCTCTGAGCCATCTCTCCAGCCCCCGCCTCCTCCTCTTGAGAGGTCTATATTATGCCCCCAGAGGTCAGAAGAGGACCCCCCTGGAGTTACTGATAGTTGCTAGCCGCCTATGGACTCTGGGACTGGTCCTCTGAACAAGCATCAAGTTCTCTACCACTGAGCATCTCTCCAGCTCGTGATAACCAATGCTTGTGTCTTCCTGCCCCCTGCAGATATCCAGACCAAGGTAGAACCCGCCTCTCCATCTTCTTCTGTCAACTCCGAGGCCTCCCTGCTCTCAGCAGACTCTCCCAGCCAGGTACACAGTTTCCTCTCTCTGCAGCCCCACCCCTCCTCCAGGGGTGTGAGACGCTGTCTCTTGACCCCCTAATGTCTCTGGACTGCCCTGCATAGGCTTTTATAGGAGAGGAGGTTCTGGAAGTGAAGACGGAGTCCCCGTCCCCTCCAGGGTGCCTCCTATGGGATGTCCCGGCCCCTTCACTTGGAGCTGTCCAGATCAGCATGGGTCCGTCCCCTGATAATCCCTCAGGTAATGGGGCCTCCCGACCCTGGGGTCCCTAGTGAGAGAGAGGCCCTCCTCTGCTCTAATTCCCTCTCTCTTCCCTCAGGGAAGGCTCCGGCCACTCGGAAGCCTCCACTGCAGCCCAAACCTGTGGTGCTAACCACAGTTCAGATGCCACCGAGAGCTGGGCCTCCCGGCACTGCTGTCCTTCTGCAGCCCCTGGTCCAGCAGCCCACAGGTATGGCGATGGGGGGCCGCCAGAGTGCGCATGCCCAAGTGCTTGAGCATGAATGTGCACACCAGCTCACTAACCACTCTGACCTGTGAGTGTGAGTGCACACCAGCGCACTAACCACTCTGACCTGTGAGTGTGAGTGCACACCAGCGCACTAACCACTCTGACCTGTGAGTGTGAGTGCACACCAGCGCACTAACCACTCTGACCTGTGAGTGTGAGTGTGGACACCAGCGCACTAACCACTCTGACCTGTGAGTGTGAGTGCACACCAGCTCACTAACCACTCTGACCTGTGAGTGTGAGTGTGGACACCAGCGCACTAACCACTCTGACCTGTGAGTGTGAGTGCACACCAGCGCACTAACCACTCTGACCTGTGAGTGTGAGTGTGGACACCAGCGCACTAACCACTCTGACCTGTGAGTGTGAGTGTGGACACCAGCGCACTAACCACTCTGACCTGTGAGTGTGAGTGTGGACACCAGCGCACTAACCACTGACCTGTGAGTGTGAGTGTGGACACCAGCTCACTAACCACTCTGACCTGTGAGTGTGAGTGCACACCAGCTCACTAACCACTCTGACCTGTGAGTGTGGACACCAGCGCAGTAACCACTCTGACCTGTGAGTGTGAGTGTGGACACCAGCTCACTAACCACTCTGACCTGTGAGTGTGGACACCAGCGCAGTAACCACTCTGACCTGTGAGTGTGAGTGCACACCAGCGCACTAACCACTCTGCCGCTTCCCCAGTGTCTCCAGTCGTCCTCATCCAAGGTGCTATTCGAGTGCAGCCTGAAGGCCCAGCCCCCGCAGTTCCACGGCCCGAGAGGAAGAGCATTGTCCCAGCGCCTATGCCTGGGAACTCCTGCCCGCCTGAAGTGGATGTATGTGTCAGCATGGGAGGGAGCGCTCCGCAGGGTGGCGGCGGGGCTGTGTGGGAGGAAGGCAGAGACCTGTGGTGGTCTCTTCCGCATGGGGCCCTAGTCTGGAAAGAAGAAAGACCCAAAGAGGGAGGGGGCTGGCAGGATGCTGGCCCTACGTCTCCCTTGTCCCACGTTGAGGACTCGGAGGCCATCCTGAAATATGGCAGTGGAGGGGGAGCAGCACTTCTGTGGCTCAGGAGGTCAGGAAGGCAGGGGTGGCACGTGACCTGGCGTGGGGACATGGCCTCTCTCACTCACCCTCATTCTCTGACCTCGCTGGTCCAAGGCGAAGCTGCTGAAGCGTCAGCAGCGGATGATCAAGAACAGAGAGTCGGCCTGCCAGTCCCGCAGGAAGAAGAAGGAGTATCTGCAGGGCCTGGAGGCCAGGCTGCAGGCTGTGCTGGCCGACAACCAGCAGCTGCGCAGGGAGAACGCTGCCCTCCGGCGGCGGCTGGAGGCCCTGCTGACAGAGGTTGGCCTGGGCTGCCCTTGGAGAGGGATGGGAACCAAGCCCCGGCCCCTGTGGTAATGCGCACCCTCCTGTGTCTGCCTCTGCCCTGCAGAACGGGGAGCTCAAGCTGGGCTCTGGGAACAGGAAGGCTGTCTGCGCCATGGTCTTCCTTCTCTTCGTTGCCTTCAACTTTGGACCTGTGAGGTGAGGCCCACGCTGCTCCCCGGAGCCCTCTGGATGGGGCTGAGCCTCCCAGCTGCCCGGTTGTGAGCAGCAAGGGCCTGGGCCGTGTGCACACACATTTCTGGCAGCCTCAGACCGCATCTGTTGGTGGCCGCCTGTTCTTCTGTTCTCCCTCGGGTGGTGTGTTGCGGCTGATGGTGACAATGTTACTGGAAGGTGACTCCCAGGGGTGGGGTGTAGGATTAAAGTGCTTCCTAGCATAGAGTTCGAGGACCTGAGTATGACCCTGTGAACCCACATCTCAACAGTCGGCTTGGTAACCTGCACTCACACAGCAATGCGAAGATAAAGACAGGCAGGTCCCAGTGCTGGTTGGCCGGCCAGCCTTGAGCACTCGCTGAGCTCCTGGCCGGTGAGGGACAGCGCCTCAAACATAAAATAAAAAGGTAGATTGTGCCTGAGAAATGGCAGCCAGGGCTAGCCTCTGACCTCTGTATGTACACACGCATGGATACATAGACCCCCAGTCTCCATCACACACCCACGCAGGTGCCCACTCTGGGCTCACCTGGTACCAGGCATTACAGGACTCGCCCTCCTTTTCCTGTCTCCCGAGTCTGTGAGGCGGCACCTCCTGCTCCCATCTCACGGCAGGGAGCCTGAGTGTCGTGGAGCAGACGGGACCTGTGCCATTGTGAGTGCAGAGCCCCGACCCTTACTGAAGGCACTTGAGGAAGCGGGGCGCGTCACTCTCCTGCCTCCCTCCCACAGCATCAGCGAGCCACCGCCAGCTCCAGTCTCTCCTCGGATGAGCAGGGAGGAACCTCGACCCCGGAGACACCTGCTGGAGTTCTCCGAGCAAGGGCCGCCGGCTCATGGCGTGGAAGCCCTCAAGGAAGCAGCCCAGGGCCCAGAGGAGCAGCAGTCCGGCCCTGCAGGCAGGCCCAGCTTCAGGTGAGAAGCAAAAGACCCCTCTCCGTGAGGGACCAGAGCACGGCTTCCTGAGCCTCTGCACAGCACAGAGCCAAAGTTGTCCTCAGTGGGGCCCTGTGCCGGCCGGTCCCTGAGCACTCCCTCTGCCTCTCTTCAGAAACCTGACAGCCTTCCCTGGCGGGGCCAAGGAGCTACTGCTGAGAGACCTGGACCAGCTCTTCCTCGCCTCTGACTGCCGTCACTTCAACCGCACCGAGTCCCTGAGGTGCGTCCATCTGCCCTTTGATGCCCACAGGCGGCCCCCCTGGCCTGTGTGGACGGGCGGCCCCACTGGCCTGTGTGGAATGCCAGCTCCCCCGCCTTCTCGCGCTTCTAGTGCCTGCTTGGGTACGAGGTGTGGCCTGTCTCCCTAGGCTTGCTGATGAGCTGAGTGGCTGGGTTCAGCGTCACCAGAGAGGTCGACGGAAGATCCCTCAGAGGGCTCAGGAGAGACAGGTAGGAGCCATTGGGTCTGGGTCGTGGAAGGCGGGATGAAGATAAGAGCTAAGCATCCTAGGGATTTCAGGTGGACACCTTGTAGAGCTTTCAGGGCTCGTGGAGCACACGGAGGAGTGAGTGTGAGGTGGCGTCAGCTTCCAGGGACCGCGTGCCTCTTTCCCTCTTCAAATCTTTAGATACTTCTCCTTCCAGAAGTCTCAGCTACGGAGGAAGTCGCCGCCAGTGAAACCAGTCCCCACCCAACCTCCAGGACCCCCTGAGAGGTGAGTACTGGGTAAGCATTTACAAAGTGGGGTCTCTAGGAAGAGCTGTGCCCCCGGGAGATGTCACTGATGTTCCCAGAAAGAGCAGTGTGTCGGCCCAGCAAGGCCCTTTCCTCTCGGCGGGCCTCCTCAGTCTGTCCTCTCCTGCCTAGGGACCCTGTGGGGCAGCTGCAGCTCTACCGCCACCCAGGCCGCTCCCAGCCTGAGTTTCTAGACGCAATCGACCGACGGGAAGACACCTTCTATGTCGTCTCCTTCCGAAGGGTGAGCTCACCTCCTTCCTATCCGTCTGCCTGTCTGTCAGGCGGGGCCCGGTCATATCTTAAGTGGGAAGGCGAAGAAGAGCTGGCAGCCTGTCCAGGTGTCTTCTTCGGCCACACGGCTCTTTCTGCTCCTAGGACCACTTGCTTCTCCCAGCCATCAGCCACAACAAGACGTCCAGGCCCAAGATGTCCCTGGTGATGCCAGCCATGGCCCCCAATGGTAATTCTTCCCTCTGGCTTTGGGAGGGTTCTGAAGTCTGGAACTGAGGAAGGGAGTTCCTGCAGAGATCCAGCAGGGGGAGCTAAGAGAGCAGGCGATGTCCAGAGAGATGAGACACAGGTGGGGAGAGGCAGGGAACCGAGGGGAAATACAGTGCAGGAGACATGGGCCCACCCTGGCACTGAGGTCTCAGGAGTAGAAGGGGAGGATGGGTGAGTCTGGGTTCCAGTGAGACCCTTCCAGCCAGACCCAAAGCTGCGTCTGTAGGTGGCTGGGCTGAGTGGGTGGGCCGGAAGCCTGCTAGACCGCCCTCTTTCTTTCTTTCTTGACATCTTCTCCTGTGACCCCCCCCGCTTGTCATTGTCATTTATTTATCTTCCTACTCCATCCTGCTTATCCCTCCTCCATCCCTGTGCCTGCTTAACTCTGCCTGCCTCTGCCCTTGCTAACTCCCCAATCCCCTCCCATCTCGCCCCATCAACCACCGACCGCCTCCCCTTCTCCTGTTTAACTCCCCTTCTCACAGAGACCGTGTCAGGCCAGGGGCCCCCAGGGGACTATGAGGAGATGATGCAGATCGAGTGTGAGGTCATGGACACCAGGGTGATTCACATCAAGGCCTCCACGGTGCCCCCCTCACTCCGAAAGCAGCCGTCCCCAGCCCCAGGCAATGCCACAGGTGGCCCCTTGCCAGCTTCTGCAGCCAGCCAGGCCGGTCAGGCCTCCCGCCAGCCCCTCTACCTCAACCACCCGTGACTTCCTCAGCTCGTGCTGGCTTAGAACTGGTTTGGGGGAGCCTGATCCTGGAACCTGGGGTGATTGGTAAAGGAAAGCAAGGTGTATGGGGATCCAGCACTTAATGGGAGTAGGCTGGGCGACTCGTCTCTCCTCACCTCTGCAGAATATAGGGCTCCCCTCCTTCCTGCAAACCCCAGCCCCTCTTTCTCTAAGGGACCTATGGAAGGTTCAGTTCAGGGCTGGGTAGCTTCCCGTGGCCTCTTCGTTCTTTGGTTTATCTATTCAGAAGTAGAGGTGGGACTTTGGTCCCCAGGTGGGACAAGAGATGTTCTTGGGTGGTGGAAGTCAGTCTGTGTGTGCGTATTATCTTTTTTATTATTATTAAACAAGTAACTCACAGGGAGTTAAAGGAATGGTGACTGCCTTCTGGTGTGTGACTCCTCTAGGGCCAGCATCAAAGAGGCAGGAACGAAGATGTCCCTGGTGGGGTAGAGTCAGCCCTCGCGTCATCCCTTGCTCCACCCCTGCATCTCTAGGGTACGTCTGTGTCTAACAAGGGTGTCTGTATCGCTGGCGTGACAGCAGACCGTGCAGATCACCGGAATGTGTCTGAGTAAACAGGAAAGACGGGGGGCCCCACGCCCTTCAGCTCCAGTCTTTGCTCTGCAGCAGGTCCCCCGCTTTCCAGGATGAGCTGTCCACACAGACAACAGGCGTGGGGGCCAGAGGGCGCGGAGCCCAGGAGGGCGGGGTCACGGTGCAGGGGCCTGGTTGGGAGAAGGGGCTCTGGACACCCTCTTGGCCCTGGACTGAGAAGACAGACCTGAGGGGGCGTCCAGATGGCTGAACATAGGATGGGACAGGCGTAAGGGCTGCGGGCTCTGAGTGTGAAGAAGGAGCCCGTGAGGGACGGGGTGCCTGGCTGCTGGGTCCCCGCAGTCGCTCCCATCCCGCAGAGCCTTGGCCTGACCCTGCAGGAGTGGCCTGGGTCAGCTGGAGGGTGTGAGCTGGATCTGGGCTCCAGGCCCAGATGACTGGACAGGGGCTGCCTGGCTGTGAGCCTGGCCCTGAAGGAGGGAGGAAGGACCTCACGTGTCCAGCCAGGCTCTCCTCACTCCCGTTACCCACCCCACTGTGTTTGGAGCGAAAACAGACTGGGGAGCTATGGCAACCTGGAACCAGGGCTCCCAGGAACTCAGCCTCTCCTCCCTCCAGAGGGCAACCCTGGTCCACAGCCACTTCCTGTCCCAGGGCCCTTTGAGCACCTTATCCAGGCAGTAAAGGAGACAGATGGCCTTGTCCTGGGCCCTTCATGGGCTTTGAGTTAGCTGATGCCCCTGAGGTGTGACGCGCCCCCACTGTGGAAGGTGAGACCTGGAGCTGTGCTGGGCACCGCCTCAGCCCTGGGTCTGCTGCTGGCACCCATGCGGGGCAGTGCCCCAAGCTCTGGGGTGGCCCACCCTACACCTCTTTCGAGCAGTGGGACACTTGTCCCGGCTTGAGGAGCCATGGAGACGGGTGCAGGGCAGCAGGTGGAAGGAGGCTGAGCGGCTGCCCCTGCAGGCAGTGTGAGCCCCCCCCCATCTCAGTCCACCCGAGCATGGCAGGCCACTGCCACCCGAGCAGGACTTGGACACCCAAGGCTCACTGCTTCCCAGCGTGCCCCCTGCTGACGTCTCTCGACGTCTCCCTTGCCTTTCTTCACCCTCTGCCCACCAGAGAGCTCCTCCTCTACCCCACTGTCACACTGCTGCCCCTGTGCAGCTCTCTCTCTCTCTCTGCGACCCCTCCCTCAGTCAGTCAGCATTCCTTGTCTCCCTCCCGCCATGCTTTTCCTCCTCTGCTTTTCACTCCAAGCTCGGTCCTCTCCCTGGCCGTGGGGGCCAGGACTGGGGAGCCTAATGTTTGCCTCATCACTCTGCTATGGCTTCTGGATACAGCACATCTGGATTCCGGGGCCCAGATGTGTGGTTGCCACAGCGACCTCAGTCCCTCTGGTAAATACAGGCGCCCACCGGCTCCACAGCAGAGAACAAAACAATTGTGTGACTTTCTCTTGTCACGAGATAGAAATGTCCTCCCTCCTCCCCGTGTCCTCCACACCCGTGTCTCCAGGCAGAGTCTGAAGGCTCCAGGATGCCCCCCTCCCTGTTCCTGCCCGCTCTTCTGTCATCCCCTGGGGCTCATCGCTTCCCAGGTTCCCTACCCTCGCCCTGGACCACTCAGCTCCCCACCGTGGATGGCGACCACGGTCTCCTCTCACTGAGTCTACACGAGAAATCTCAGAAGTCCGGGTTCCTCTCCAGTCCGTCTCAAAACCTTCCGTCTTTCCCCTCCCAAAGCCATCGCGGGTGAGAGAGAGAGAGAGACAGAGAGAGAGAGAGAGAGACAGAGAGAGAGACTCCACTCCTAGCCAAGCTGAGCAGCACCATGAGCCCTGTCTGTCTCTTCAGATGTGAGGGTGACGGGAAGGCCGCACTGTGCACAGCTGCTGGGTACAGAAGCAGGGTCGTGTTTCCTGCCCTCCCTTCGCAGGCATACTTCCTCGGGTCACCCTCTGGCCTCTCTCTGTTCCCTTCTGTGCCTTTAGGCCATGCCCTCAGTTGCCCTCAGCTCTCTCTCTCTCTGGACTTTAAAGGTCATTCAAGGATATGGGGCTCCGAGCCAAAGACCCCTGGGAACAGCTCGCACACACATGGTTCTGGACAGCGCTGTGGCCTTGCTGGGCCCTCAGGACACCTTATTGGAGCCGCTCCAGCTCTGAACTCTTGGCTCCCCTGCCCCTCTTCCCCGTCCCTGTGGCTCAGAGTTGACTTTCATTCCTGACTATGAAAGGACATGATTTCCCAGGAGCCTGGGGTCCGGGAGGGGGTGGCTGTAGACAAGCGTGATCGTCTGTATCAGCTCCAGTTCCTTCCACAGACACCTTGTAAACTCAGAAGCTGGAGCGCCTAATTCCCGTGCAGAGACCCCAGCCCCAAGTCTCCTGGCCACGTGCACCAACTGTGCTTAGCATGACCCTACCTCCCAAGTAATAAGGGTGACACTGTCAGCTGCTCAGGGTGACCCTAGTGACACTGTCAGCTGCTTAGTGTGACCCTATCTCCCAAGTAATAAGGGTGACACTGTCAACTGCTCAGCGTGACCCTCCTTCCTGAATAATAACACTGCCAACTACTTAGAGTGACCCTACTTCCCAAATTATAAAGGCCTAGGGAAGACATAGCCCCGTCTGTGAGCATACCCTGAAGTCAGGGCTATTAAGAACCCCAGTGCCACCTGTTCTCCCTGTGACACAATCTGAAGACCCCCCTCATCTTTTCATCTGCTGCTTCCCACTTCCCTGGGAGACCTGAAGGGTCATCACCTACTCATAGCTCTGGGGGATTCTGGCCAAGGCAGAGGAAGGAAGCTAAGCCCAGCTCTGTCCCACACGCTGACTTCATCCTCCCATCAAAGCCAGGAAAAAGACACACCCAGACACACGGACACACGGGTACACCCGTGAGGGAGGTCATATGTGCTGCTGCTCGAAGCCACATGGGGCTGGTGGCAGTGGCCACGGTCGCATGCCCTGCCGGGCCTCCTCCTTCTCAGGCATACCTGTGACTGGGGGGTGTGACCTGTGACTGCAGACACCCGTGCCATAGCCCACAAACGTCACCAGGTACACGTGGACCCCTGTCAAGTCCCCTCGCCACCACCTGACCTGGCTAAGGCGCGTGCACCTCAGTGATAAAGTTGCAGCGGAGAAGAGATAGCCCTGTCCTCAGTATGAAACCTGGGGCTGGGGGTGAAGGGGATGGGACACCTTTCCCCAGACAGTCCTCCGAGGGAAAACTTCCATCAGAGCCCGCCGGGGAAGTCCTTGGCTAAGCACCACCGCACGTCAGTTGCCGCCTCTGGCTGCCTGGCTTCCCCCTGTACCAACCTCTTGACCTCCTGTCTACCTTTCCTTGTCTCCCCACGCCCCCCCGCTACCTTCTCAAGTCTTACGTCCCGGTGGTGTTCAGCCAAGCCTTCGCCCAGCCAGTGCCCAAGCCTCGCTCGCTATTTCTCTAGGAATTCGCTGAGTTTGGAGAATGAAAACAGGGCAGAGAATGCCGAGCTGGGAACCGGAGAGGGGCTGGGCAGAACGGGCAATGGACAGCTGCCCAAGCCCGAGCCAGAGGAGGAGGCAGGAGGGGGAGGACGGGGTGCTGCGAGGAGCCCCAGGATTGATCTTGCACTGCAGAGGTTCAAGCTTGAGTGTGTGGGGCTGCCCGCTGTGCCCACCTCTGCTCTGCGCGTGCTCGGGCGCGCAGCACAGCCAAAGGGGTAGTTTTGAGACCCGCCCCGAGGGACGGTGCTGGCAGAGAGGAGGAAATGGGTTGAAGGTGGCGAAGAGAATGATAGAGAATGTCAGGTTTCTCAGCAACTACTGCAGGGAGAAGGTTAAAAGTGGAATAGGGGTCCTGAGTTCAATTCCCAGCAACCACATGGTGGTTCACAACCATCTATAATGAGATCTGGTGTGTATGTCAGAACATTGTATGTATAATAAATAAATCTTTTTTAAAAAGTGGAATAGGGAAAGGACATAGGGGTAAAAATAAGGGACTGAGTGGTTAAGATGAGGGTACGGGGGGGGGGGGGGGGATGGCGACTCGTCCTGGACGGGGAGTGGGGCTGGTAGGAGGGGCTGGAGGGATGGGAAGACCTGCCCTATCTCCGCTCCCCTCCCTGACCTCATGCTGGCCCTCCCCGTCTCTCCTCCCCCTGCTTAGTGCAGGCGCCCTGCTTTTCTGTCACTGCTGTGAGATCACCAGTCCCGGGTACCGGCTCCAGGAGCCTATGCTGCAACGGACAAGTGAAGGGGTCCCCCCCAAGAGCGCAGGGCTGCTGAGGGGTGCTTACCCTGCCTGAGACACTTCCTTTACCGGGGTTGGGACTGAGCAGGTTCAGAGTGCAGCAGCCAGCCGCCACCACGCTCTTCCAGGTAAGTCCCAGTCCCAGAGGAGTGGAGAAAGGTGAAGGATTTCCCTCCCGAGCGGCTCCCACAGACTCAAGAGTTGCAGGAGCTGCCTTCCAGGACAGGGGTTTTCCCGCTCAGCTCAGAGACAGTGCAAGCAGACACTGGAGGTGTGTTCAGGAGGCTAAGGCAGAATGCGGCGTGTGTTGCACGCACCAGGCTTTGGAGGGGACACCGGCACCTGAGAGGGCCTGGGAACTTCGGGGACTCCCGGAGTCAGGTGGGTACAGCTCGGGCTGGGCTGCTGTCCAGCCGCTCCTCCGGAGGACAGCGCTGTAGATTTTGAATGCCGGGGCTGCAGTTTGCTGAGCCCCGCACTGGGATGGGGCAGAGGAGGCTGCTCCCCGCGTCCAGGATGGGAATTCTCAGGTAACTGTGCAGGAGTCACAGGGGCTGGAGAGGTACGGGGCTTCCAGAAGTGCGGGAATGGGACACAGCGAGGACTAATGGTCCTGGGAAGGGCTCAGAGCTCGCAGAGACGATCCCATAACTTGTTCTTGGCGAGCGCTATGCACGCGTGACTCACGGTTCAGGGAGCCTGCAGAGGCTGAGTGATGTCCCCACAGGGCACAGGGCTGTGTCTTCATGCGGTCCCCCTCCCAGGCTCCCCGCTCCTGTGCACCCAAGTCTTTCCGCCCACTCCCCGATACACGTGACAGGCCTCGGGTGGGGCGGGCGGGGCCTCTTATCTCGCCTGGAAAGAATTTAATGGCTTAGAAACAACTGGAAGTGGAACTGAGGGGAACTACTGGGAAGCCACTGGGAAACAGCAGCTGCTGCAGCCCCGCCCCTGCTGCAGCCCCGCCCCTGCTTCCCGGACCTCAGCCCCCTCCTGCTGTCCCTGGCTGCCTCCAACCCCTGGAGACCCAGCACCTCCATTAGTCAAACTTTCTTCCGCTCAAGCCCAGGCCAGTGGTGCAGGACCAGAACCCATCTTCCTGTCTCTCATTTTCCTCCTGACCTTTCCCACTAGGGGGGGGGTCTAAAAATCCTTTCTCTTAATTTTTCTATTCCTATGGCCCATATGCTTTCTCCCCAAAACAAGAGGCACCTGGATCCCCCAGCTCTTTCTTTCTTTCTTTTTTCTTTTCTTTTTTTTTTTTTTGTTTTGTTTTTTCTTTTTCCAGACAGCGTTTCTCTGTGGCTTTGGAGCCTGTCCTGGAACTCACTCTTGTAGACCAGGCTGGCCTCGAACTCACAGAGATCCGCCTGCCTCTGCCTCCCGAGTGCCGGGATTAAAGGCGTGCGCCACCAACGCCCAGCTCCCCAGCTCCTTCTTACTGGCACCCTCTTTTCAACTAGCTTCAGCCCCGTATCTGAGACTCCGTTTTCTCACGCCTGGAGTCCTGCCTCCCCCTCTCATTGCCAGACTTTGCTGGCCGTGGGGATGACAGGCGGAGTTGAGCATGGCATTGGATGGGACCATACCCCATTCCCTGGAACACCCCTCATGGAAGTTTGTCCCTTTCCCACCCAGTAGGACCAATGGTCCCTGGCGACTAAAGTTGGCCACACACTGAATACCAGGGGTGCTGAGTCACAGTTTGGGAAGATGCCCCCACCCTGCCAGCCCTCCAAGCATGGAAGGATGCCAGGAGAGTGAGACCAGCACCCCCCCCCCCAACATATTTCAGAAAGACATAGGGGGGAGACGCAAGAAAAACACAATTGTCTGCTTGCCCGGTGCCAAGAGAGGGGCCAAAATTTTCCAACCGTTGGGAGGGGAAACGGGAGGGTGGTGACAGGAGAGGGGAGGACCCGGGCCTGGGAAAGAGGCTCTGGGACGCAGTCTTTGAGGACCACACATCTCTTCAGCAGCACTTCTGGAGAAGCCAATGGGGTTTCTGTACGTTTTCCTGCTGCAGGGAGCCCCCCCCCCATCACCTATATGAGAGTGAAGCAGAGTCCAGTTGCTTGAAGAGACTGGTTGGTCAACAAGAGGGGCCCAGGGAGGGGTATGAGGAAGCGGGCGGGAAACACGCACCCTCCGCTCCCCACCACCCGGAGAGAACAGCTCCTGGTGCTGTCCACACCACAGCTCAGTTTTCAGACTCTTCGTCAGTGTAATCCACTTGCTTAGACATCCCCCCCCCCCCCTCAGTGACCAGGTGTGCAGCAGCCACAGGGGCGGATGCCATGTCCGAGTGGCTCACGGGTCTGCAAACATGCTTGCCGGATCTGTGCTGATCTGTGGGTTCACATGGGGGTGCACTTGCATCCGAATCTGCGGACAAATGCAGGAGGCTGTGTTTGCTACGAGGCATATTTGAGCGTGCACGCACCCCGCGGCTGGTGCAGGGGTGATTTTCAGGGTCTTCGGCACAGAGCCACAGGTAGGATAGGCCAGAGACCCCTCCCACCAACTGCTTTGCTGTCAGAGGGAAGGGCCGCCCTGCCTCTGGTCCCCCCCTTCACACAGGGGTCTGCCCCCCTGGCTCTCCTGGCTCTTTATTTTGTTTTACTCTTTGCGCCTCGGTCTTAGGCAGCCTAGGCTATTCTTAAATTTCCTATGTGACCCTGGCCTGCTGGTCCGTCCGTCCTCTACTGCCCAAGTGCCGAGATTTCAGACATGAGCTGCCACACCGGGTTCATGTGGTTCTGGGCTCAAACTTAGAGCTATGCTCGGCAGGCACCTCACCAACTGAGTGACATCCTTCTGTCTCTTGACACCAGCCAGGGAGCAATAGTGTCCGGTGGCCCCCAAAACACCTTTCTCTTTGACCAAGAGGAAACTGGGAAATGTGTATGTTGGGAGAGGGTAGCCACAGCCCTTCCTTCCTGGCCAGTCACCGTTTCCACGGCTCACTCTGCCCTCCGGCTCTCTCAGCCTCTCTGCTCCAGATGATCTGGGCGCCTGCCGATGTCCCTCAACTTTCCCCGCAGCTCGAGCCCACCCTGCCTCACCCCGCTCCCTGTTCATCAAAGCCCTCTCTCCGGCCTCAGCCTTTCTTCTCAAACCGTCTCTCCAGTGTCTAAGTGAACCCCACAAACGCCTCCAGTTGCATATGCAGACAAGGCAACAAGGGCCCCCCAACCCTGAGTCTGAACCCCATCACCTCAATTTGGGATTTAAAAAAAATTTCCACAAAAAGTGCTGGGGATTATATAGCTCAGAGATAGAACATTTGCCTAGCATATACAAGACCCTGGATTTGACCCTGGCACAATAAAACTAATTTAAAGCCAGGCGGTGGTGGCACACCCCTTTAATCCCAACAGAGACAGGCAGATCTCTGTGAATTCGAGATTAGCCTGATCTATAAGGGCTAGTTCCAGGACAGCCTCCAAAACCACAGAGAAACCCTGTCTCGAACCCCCCCCCAAAAAAACCACTAATTTAAAAAGATGGATAAGTAAGTGAATGTCTTCAAGGGCCAGCAAGGTGGCTCAGCAGATAAAGGCTGTTGCTGCCACGACCCAGTGACGGTGACCCTTTGAGAGTTGAGTTCCTGGAACCTACATGGTAAACAGAGAGAACCGACTCCCGAAAGTTGTCCCTCGACTACCCTACCTTCAATGTGGCGTGTTATGTCCACACAGGAAATAAACAGCTGTAATGGAAATCCACAAAATGAAATTGTCCCCCTCCCCACTTGTGTTCCCCGCCCCCAAATGCTGAACCCAGGCTCACACGCTACCGTGGAGGAGCTCCATCCCAAATGCTGAACCCAGGCTCACACGCTACCGTGGAGCTCCGTCCCAAATGCTGAACCCAGGCTCACACGCTACCGTGGAGCTCCGTCCCAAATGCTGAACCCAGGCTCACACGCTACCGTGGAGCTCCATCACAAATGCTGAACCCAGGCTCACACGCTACCGTGGAGCTCCGTGCCTGTCCTTTCTTGGTTCTGTTTTTTACATCAGTGAGTTTGATTGTACATGATCATCTAAAAATCATCTAAATGCATTTTTCTCATATCTACTCCATCTCCATGACCCTCTCCAGCTCTTGGAATTTTGAGATGGGGTCTCACCACGTAGCCCAGACTGGTTTTGAATTCCTGCACTTACTGCCTCAGCCTCCCAAATCCTGAGATTGCAGGTGTAATCTCTAAGCCCAGCACGGAACAAGATATTTTTGTTTGTTTGTTTGTTTGTTTGTTTTTACGAGACAGGGTTTCTCTGTATTGTTTTGGAGGCTGTTGGTCCAGCCTGGCCTCGAACTCACAGAGATCCAACTGCCTCTGCCTCCCGAGTGCTGGGATTAAAGGTGTGCGCTACCACCGCCCGGCCCAGAACAAGATATTCTTAGCACCCCAGAAATCTCCCATCAATGCCTCTTCTGGTCGCTCTACCCCAAGAACACCACACTTCCAGTTCAAAACTGCAAGTTTAAGTTTGTTATCCTCTCTCCTCAAACTCACACTCCTTTTCTTTCTTTCTTCTTAAAAATCTGATATAGAATCTCCCTGTGCAGCCCCGGCTGGCCTGGAACTCACTCTGTAGACCAGGCTGGCCTCCAGCTCACAGAGATCCTCCTGCCTCTGCCTCCCGCATGCTGAGATCACAGGTGTGCGCCACCACCGCCCTGCTCACTCAGACTTTCTTTATAGATGATCCAGCTCTTTCTTCTCTGGTTTTCTTATTCGATTAGGAGCCATCTGTAGTATTACGCTTAACAGTACGTGAACCGTAGTTTGTCTTCATGCCTTTTTTTTTTGATTTTTGAGGCAGGGTTTCTCCGAGGCTTTTGGAGGCTATCCTGGAACTAGCTGTGGACGGTTCTGCTGTGTTGTTGTATCTGGTGGTTGCCCCTTGGGGCTGCTGTGGACGGTTCTGCAGTGTTGTTGTATTATTTGGTGAGTCCCCCTTGGGGCTGCTGTGGACAGTTCTGCAGTGTTGTTGTATCTGGTGGTCGCCCCTTGGGGCTGCTGTGGACGGTTCTGCAGTGCTGTTGTATTATTTGGTGAGTCCCCCTTGGGGCTGCTGTGGACAGTTCTGCAGTGTTGTTGTATTATTTGGTGAGT